CATCATCATCATCATCATCGTCATCATCATCGTCATCATCATCATCATCGTCATCATCATCATCATCATGATCAGGATCGATCACACCTGACAGAGCATCCTCAATCCAGTCTTCCAGCTCGTCCACGGATGGCAGGTCTTCTCCGTCATCCATGTCCATCCACACACTGTCAGCCTGCAGAGAGAGTTACAAATAAAGACAAACATCCCATCAAGACATCATGAAAACACATTAACTGAGATTAAAAGTAGACTTTGACACAGGCAGCTCAAAGACGAGTGTTGGATCATTTAAGTTAATAGCTAAAATTCAAATGGTGAAATTGTGCTGAGGCTGTAGAGAGGATCGTCCACTAACCAAAGAGGCTATCTGTTTGATCCCTCGCTCCCTTACTCGAAATGCAGAAGTGTTTTTGGGCAAGATTCTGAACCTCACATGGCTCCTTGTGGCTGTGCTGACAGTGTGTTAATAGTACGTGATAGTGAAAGTGCTGCATATAGTAGGGATGTGTATGTGAATGGGTGAATGGGACTTATACTGTAAAGCACTTTGAGTGCTTCAATAGAATTAGAAAAGGACCATATAAATAAAGAGCATTTACCATAATATTAACCTTAAGATACCATATAGTTATAGATCTTTTTCATAACAGACATTTTTACTTGTCACAGAATGATAATATACAATTGTAATTCATTTAATAATCTGCACAACTGTGACATGCCAACATGATATGTCTGCTCCAATGAAAATGCCTATTGAGCCACAGAGAATCTGAAGCTTACAGCCTTTAGTACAGGGGTGTCAGGGCTGTTTTCCACTCCACCTGGTTGGTGATCCAGCCTTGTTTTTATACACATACAGTACAGAGTTCAGCAAAACACACATGCAGTGATGATGTACGAATAAAGCACCAAAGATGTTACTCACATCATCAGTATCGACAACACCAATCTGTGGAGAGGACAGGTCAATGCCAAAAGTCTTCTCCCAGTGTGGCAGAAGCTGCAGGGAAATAACAGATGTATTTTTCCATCAGTGTCAATAATGTGCACATGAAGAATATATCATATTCATTATCTCTGTTCAGCCCAGTTCAACCTCTCCAAACACACAGTCTTTCCCCAATGCATGTGTCATATTCCTACCAGGGGGAAGTCATCAGGGTCAATCCAGACAATACTGAGGTCAGGGTTGTCAGTGTTGTCCTCGGCAACTTGCTTCAGGATCTCCAGGAACTCATAACCATCTGAGGAGTGGATAAGACCACAGTGACACGGTTATTAAAGGAGAGCATCTGCAGGACAGCAATGGGTGATAGTTATGATTATCTTTACTTTTGTATTATTCCCACACCATTCACCAGCAGAAATGCTGTATGGCTCCACAGGACAGTCAATTTCATTTTGCTTATAATCATGTCATCACTAACCCCTTTGCTGCCTCATGTAACACTTAGAAGATTTGTAATCGCTTACTGGTCCTTGTGTCAGTAATGTCATTATATTCAGTTTCACAGGTCCTTTACCTGGGTCGGCCTCCTCGGCGAAAGCAATGATATGTTCACCATCCATATCGTCATCCTGCAGTAATAGAGAAGAAAAACTACTGCAACTGACTTTTGGAATTTAACAGTTTTAGGACAAATGTAAACTGTTCTTGAATTTTACTTCACAAACAAAATTGTACAACTTGTTGTCTGCGTTTCTTACCCAGATCTCATACATGTTGTGTGGTTGCAGCTTCCTCAGGGTTGGCCTTAAAAAAAAAAAGAAGAGATCAATTACATTTTATGCATTTTGATATTAATTCTGGAAGGATGAGTATATACCTCATGAGAACATTTGAGCTTAGCAGCAATGGGATTTACCTGTCATTGTCTTCAATGAATTTCACCAGCTCATCCTCAGTGTAAGGCTTTCCAGGGATGACCACTGGATCATCCATGAAGGGTTCATAGAAGTCGACCTCATTGAGCTTCAGGTCCAGAGCCTTGGCAACCTGTAAGACACCACGAGTTCAAACCCTCAGAATTATATATGCAGACTTTTCACATTGTTTTGGTTACTCACTGTTTTACTATACTATACTATGTTATGCTATTCTATACTGTACTGTACTATACAGAAACATACTTGTGTCTGTCTACTGAATGTGTACATAGTGTTTTTTTACATCTTGTACATCTTACAACTTTCGTTAATCATGTCTTTAAGACATCTTTGCTTAACATGGTGTTACTTTGTCTTCACTGCATGAATCGTGCTTACGGATACTTTATTACTTTTACTTATAGCCTCTGCATGCTTTATACCCTGCACACACCATTGTTACATTGTATTTTACATTGTATTTTATATATATATATATATTCATTATAGTATAATAATATAACATAATTACATATAGTATAATAATATATAATAATATAACATAATTACTTACCTTGGTATTGAATGTGGCAAAGAAGCTGATGTGAGGGTGGAACTCTTCTGCAGCATCGGCGAAAGCCTCAAAATCTGAAAGTTCACAGGCACCCATCAAGTTGATTTACAGCCCTGTATGAAATATCTGAGAATGTAGACTTGTTGTTCTCATCATTACTGTTGCTCTTTGTGTACCCACCTACACCCACTTAAAACTCAAAACTCAAGGTTACATCAAGCAATATGAGCCGGATCTCTGTTGTACTTGCTTGATATGCCATTATAATCAATTATTTTGAAAGAGCAACTGTAAAAAAGAGATAGCAACAGGTTATCATGGTACCACAGTACAGATTCTTACGTTCTGACTTGTGACTCTTAAAGTAGCCCACCAATTTGATGTCCTCTTCAATGTTTTTGAAGCCTTTCAGTTCCTTACTATTATCAATAATTTCCACGGGGTCCTCTAGAACCTACGAAAGAAATTGAGGGGCATTGAGGAGAAAAGGGGTAGAGAATAGAGATGGAGGTGTCAGAGAAAATATGAAGGCAAAATAAGATTATGTGGGTTATCTTCATAGAAAACAAAATGGACGGCTATTTAAATACTGTTTTGCTAAAATAAAGCAGGCTATTAACTGGGAGATTATATCCTCACGAACATCAAAGATGAACTCCACAAGAGTGTCTGCAGCAAGCTCGCCGTCATATTCTATGACCTCATCATCTGTGAAGATGAAGATGCTGTCGGACTCATCAAGGCCTGAGCAAACAGAAAGGACATGTAAGTGTTTGACCTCAGGTCTGGAGCAGAGAAAAGGTCAGACTTGTTAGTTTCCTCCTTTGACATCTTAATTAGTCATCTGTAAGAACAGGAAACATTATCGTAAAATCCACATGATCTATTTTTAGACAGGTAAATTCAGATTGTTAGTCATTTCAGATTAACTGTCAAGAAGCTGATATCATGATACTGGTCTTATTTTTGCATTTTGACCTATGAGCCAAGTGTCCGCAGCAGAATTTACCTAGTTTCTTTGCAACAACTTTGTCGTGCTTTGCATCAATGAGACCGACTCCAATATCCTCATCATCAAACTCATCCAGGACCTGGGCTGCAAGCTGTAAAACAAAGACACTGTCACTTAAATGAACACATATGTGATCTGTCTTTTCAGTATATAAAACATAAGCATAAGTACATGTCTGTATGAGTGTATCTTATATGTTTACACTGTTTTGACATAGTTGTCTCACTCAGTCGTGTCATTACCATAAAAGCCTGCTTTTCAGAACGCTGCTTATGCACTTTCTAAATCTGTGTGAAACTTGAACTCATGACTGACAGTTGCTTCTACCAATGGCAGCAGCGCACTTACAGCCCGACTGCATTGAGGAAGTGGTTTGAAGGCCATCCCAGTCCACAAACACACACACACACACACACACACACACACACACACACACACACACACACACACACACACACCCTCTCACATGGGTGTGTACTGGTGTTGGAGACCTTGAGCAGCTGCTCTTACTGGCAGAAATAGTTTGACGAAAGTTGGCACCTTGCAGTATGTTGTGCAGATAATTCTCCCCATTACATTTACCTACAATTATATAATAGCATATGTTTTACGGCAACTTAAATGTTTTCATAGCACCATATTTTATTGCCCTTTTTGGCATTTAAATATACTAAAATAAACTTTTAAAGGGCAAAAGATTGAGGTTAGTAAGGCCTGCCACAATCCAAGCAACGGGACAAGGAAATATTTAAAAATAAATTGTAAAATAAAAAAGCACTGATATGACCTAATTCCCAAATGATCTTTTAGATACACAAGCTGATTTAATAATGATCACTTAAAGTTTTCAGAAAATTGAGTTACTGCAACATTGTTTTGAGTTGTTTTGTTTAAAACAAATAAAATAAATCTAAAAATGAATTCATATTTTTAGATCCGCATGTCATCCAAATATAAAAATGCAGAGTTGTCTTTGGACCTTGGTGTTCAGAATGTGTATCTGCAGTAATGTACCTGATATCATTTCTCCAGAGTAACTGAACCCTCCCAGCTACATGTTGAGTTAAACCAGCAGCTTCAGTAGCTGAGATGGGATTTCACACTTTGATATGTGCATTTCTTTCAAAGTACACAACACATAAATTACACTGCAATCTGTTTACTGAGGCATACAGTTCATATATATATATATCTCTTATCTTCTATACATTATCTTGTGTGTCCACCTGAGGAGGAAAGATATACATCCATGTACAATGTCTTTTGTGGAGAATGCAGACCCACTAACCTCAATGGATACATGACACAATTGTGAAGCATTGGGTCTTATGCACATTCCACACGGACTTCCTCTCATCACGTCATATTTCTTTTGATTTTCACTGACCTCCAGAGAGTGCCCTAACCTCTGAAACCCACAGCCTCTTGCTGTTGCCTGTTGCTAATAATAAAACCTGCATTAGATGTAAATCATTAGACATTCATTAGGAGAAACACAGCCCGTCAGGGAGCTCAGCCCACCACAAAAGCATCCTGTGATAAAAATAGCCCCACACCAGCACCAGGGACTATTTTGGCGAAGTGGCAGTGATGCACAGCACTCTGGGATCCGCTGACAAGTACAGTACTGCAAGTGTCAATCACGGTGGCGAGCTGAGGCGGCACTACTGGAGCCAAAACCTCCAGTTCTGGCCTCAGGCGCTGAGGCCGGGCCCCAATGTCCCCTTACAGAGACACCAGAGGCTTTAGAGATGATGTGATAAGCTAAGGAGAGCAGCCTCCATCTTTCTCTGCCTGGTTATTCAAATCTTTATTTTTATTACTATCCATTCTGTTACTTGACCTCTCCCTTCCTCCCCCTTCTTGACATTGTATGACGATTGATCTTGTTGATGTCAAAGTTACTTTGTTTTGTAGTTTCCTACATATTAATGTTGTCAGTAATTATCCTACTGACCAGATGTCCCCAATTTTTTTTTTGACTTGTAATTGCCAAGTTTTTTATTTCTTGGTTTATTTTTGCATCAGTTCTAAAAGGAGCCACCAGCAGTCCTTGCAGCTCTCTTCAATATAAGATAATCCAAGTGTATAAAGTTAGCAGCCTTTACTTAACACTGCAAAGAGGCCATGCCAAATGTCATGAATATTATTGTAATGTGATCCAACGTATATATTCCATAAACCAGACTTCACCCTCATCATGGTTCATAGAACTGCAATTTTCAGAGCAGAATGTATCAGATAGATGGATTTCCTAAAATGCTCCAAAGCCAAAACGGAACTATTTTTAGTTCAGTTTAAAATGGCCACAGAAAGAGAAAACAGCCGGACGAGAAATACAAATATAACTTTTCATGGAAAATCTGCAATATGTGATATGCAATATTTTTCTGGTGTAACCTGAGAAGTGACACAGTCCCGCCATGATTCAATGTGTTTGTGAGCTAAGGCTTTGTGCAGAAGGGTGATGTCACATCTTTCTGCAAAGAATGTGATGAAACTGCTGAGTATCCAGGCTGACGGGAGATCCTTAGGTGTAATGGGATGTGCTGATGGAGGTGTGTTAAGGCAATCAGCCCCCCCCCCCTCCACACACACACACACACACACA